GTGTCTATGGAGCTTTCATGACCCTGCCTTGTACAAGTTGTGCTGGCTTTCCCAGTATTGTGTACTGTTTTACCCTTCACCAAAATTATCACTTATCTATTGTCTATTTAGTATTCCCCCCATCCCACCCCTCCCATCCCTCGTAACCAACAGAGATTGTTTCTTTTTGTGTGTAAACCTTTTCATGAGTTTTTACAGTATTGGTTTTTTTAATAAAAAAATTGATATTTATAATGAAAAAACTTAAACATTGATCATTCAAAGTTATACAGATCAATGAGAAAAAAATTACATGCAGGAATGATATAAATAGTATCATCTTCTTGTGTATAAAAATAAAGATTTGGGGCAGCCAGAATGTTTTCAAGCTACCTTTAAATCTAACATACTGAACATTTATTTTAAGATGTAATTTTAATTACCATATGTAACAGTTGCACAAAAATGGGCTTCTTAAAATTTGAGCTGTTAAATATTTCCTCTTAAGAGAAAGGCAGACATGCTTGATTAATATTTGAGTCTGAATGTTTATCTAAATGGTTAATATTCTTCAAATAGTTCCCTAAGCTACCTAATTAAAACAAGTTATGTTCATTTATTGTATGAAAACTGTACCTCAGTTTTAAAAATGCAAGTCGTGATGTTTGCTGAAAAAATTCCAGATTTCCCATTTTAATCTAAAATTTTATAAGTTTTTCAGTGCATTCTAATGATTTAATGTAAATCTAAAATTTGAATATTAGTTGACTTGCACATCACTGTTTGGAATCCAACTTCTCTATAATGAAGAGGAGCCAAAATCATTTTCCCAGTCTCTACATTTTCAATGACATTGTTAATTAATGACTAACAAAATCCATCATCCTAGAAATGTTTATAGTTTGGATAGCATGGAAAAGAAAGGTGCAAGCTTTTGTTTTAGAGAATGTTAAAGCTAGACGATCATTTTTTATAGTTAACTCTGAGGTATACTTTCCAACTTTGAAGTATCTATTTTTCTTAGCACTTTGGAGTAAAGGTAAGACCTCAGTTTTCTAAAACATATCAAGAGAATACTGAAAAATCTCGAAGATTAGCATAAGAAGAAAAGGCCTAGAAGGGACATCATAGCTGTCTGAAGTGGAGTCATTTGTCCCAGGCAGATTATCCTACGTAACACCAGAGGGCAGAATAAGGACAATTACATGGGTGTTACACCAAGGCAGATTTCTATATACAGTAAGTACCACCTCACAATGTTTTAAAAGGTCCAAAATCAAATGGGTAGCATTAGAAGTTAATGGATTTTCCATCACTGGAAGTGTCCAAGCAAATGCAAGAAAAACTATTCATTTCCTGCATTAAGAGGATAGAAGCTTTCATTCTACCCTATTGTTAGGTGCCGTCAAGTCAATTTCAACTCAAAGACCCCATGTGACAGAACTGCCCCATAGGGCTTTCTAGGCCAGGTCTTTCTCCTGTGGAGCCAAGTGCTTAACTGTTGTGCCCCCAGGGCACCTCATTCTACCCTAGAGTTACGTAATTTAATGACTTTTTGTATTAACATCCAGTTATTCCCTGTGTTTACTTTTACTTTGAATGTAGCTTGAATTTCCAACTAGCTGCTTCTCTGAAACCTAAATACTATCCTTAATCTCCCTCTCCCACATAAAACGGCACTACTTAAATTTGCTTTACCTCTGAAAAAGAGCTATTCTCAACACAAATGTGTTTCAGAGCAAAACAGAGGACCAAAAAAAGTCATTAGCTCCTTCATCCTCTACCCATTGTCCCCCTTCATGGTCAAGTGTTACAGTATGGATTTTACACAAGCCTAACTATATTTGAATGTAAGTACAATAAACACATTTTAAACCATTTTAAACACATTACCTACACTTTTTTTTTTTTTTTTTTGGCTAAACATGGAAATTTCTTAGATGTAGCATAGTATAAGTAGGAAAAGGATGGACCTTGTAATTCCGGCCCTTTCACTTAGTTGTGTGCAACCTTGGGAAAGTTACTTAATCTCTCCAAACCTTGGTTTCCTCCTCTTCTCATGGGAAGGTAAGAGCATTTGTAAATAATCTCGCTTAGTATTAGATGCCCAATAGATACAAGTACATTTCTCCAAAGGCAAACACTCTCCTTGCTAACGATTGTTCTAGCAGACCCTTTCCAAATTTTAAAAGAATTTTAAAGACTTTTTAACTTGATTAGGTACTAGTAGATAGCAAGACCCAAGTTTTTAAAGAACATGGCAAGAATAAAATAATCTTGGAATTAGAATCATATTCAAAGTGTCGTCTAGTCCAACCCTCTCATATGAAGAGGAAGAAACAATCTTAGAACATCAATTATTTACCTTACATCAGACAATTTACCATTAAAGCTGGAACCAAAATCTCTTGGCCTTTTGCTTTCTAATTCCAAAACTGATTTTCCTTTTACTAAATATGTGTGTGTCATAGAAATTCACTCCAATTAACATGGAAGACTAACAGTTGGTGAGAATTTGGAACTCTAGCCAGCACTTTCAGTACAAAACAAAACAAAACCAATTGCCATCGAGTGGATTCCAACTCATAGCTTCCCTATAGGACAGAGTAGAACTGCCCCGTAGGGTTTCCAAGGAGCACCTGGTGGATTCAAACTGCTCTTAACCACTCCGCCACCAGGGTTTCCATTTCCAGTACAGTATTATGAATTTACTAATGTGAAGTAATTACCTGTGCTTTTTGCTTTCCTTCTTCAGTTGCAAACATAAAAGCTGCATGCAAACATACATTTGAACTTATTTTTTTAAATATTTTTAATAATCATTCTTTACTGTTTCAAACAAAATGCAAAGTCTTCAGGAGCTACTTGGTTAATGTTGAACTAGGCGATATTTAAGATCCCTTCCAGTTCTAATATGTTATGATTATAAATATTTAGAAATAGTGAGCAGTGTTCTCAGTAATAATCATAAGCTCAATATAATAGGTAAAGTTTTTAACTAAACTATGTAAATAAAAATAATTAGAAAAAAGTAGTGGTCACATAGGAAATTTATTTCAAACTTAAAGTTTTGAGGCTAATATATCTAACATTCACAATGGAACATGGCAAGAGAGTCACTTTCTTGGTATCAGTAAGCTGGAAATGATTCAGTACAACTGTGAACATTTTAAAGTTAAGACAAAAGAAAAAGGAAACTCAATTTTTGTGACAATAAAATCTGCAATTATATGTGCTCAATCAAAAATTTTATATAGTTTTCTTTGGTCATATACTTTCATTCATGTTTATTCTTATCTGATTATACTACCTGCAAAGGTCTAAAACCTACCCAGAATGTGAGTTTTAATAAGAGAAGGATGATACATTAGTTTCCTCATCTATGTATTTTAGCTATTCAAGTGTGTAGTAGCAGTTTCTGTTGTTGAAAAACTTTTCAACATGCCAATTTTTAAAATAATGCATAAATATTTTCTCAGCATCCTCTGAATTCCCTTCTGTTCCTAAGACACCAAAGCCCTCCTTATGTATGATAATTCTTTTTAGAATCTTATAATAAAAGTATAAACACACATAGAATTGTATATTGCAACTTTGAAATCAGTCAGAGGACCTTTTGAAGAATACTGATCATAAGAACAAATCATATAACGATGGTTTTAATGACCCTTGTTTGGATAGATTTTTCTTTTAAATGAAACTTAATTAAGGGTTGGCCATGATTCTCCCAAAAACCCTGCTGCCGACAATGATGTACATCAAATAAGTCAGTCTGGCTCTGAGTATTACATTTTTAATCTTCATTTTAACTGATGAAACACTATGCAGGGAAAGGATAGTTAAGAGGAGACATGCATTTTTTTGTGCTGCTTGTTTTCCACAGAGAAGAGAGGATGCTAAGTGATCTCAGAACTTAGCATTTCTGAGGTCCCTGGGGTTCTTACTACTATTCTGACTTAGAAAGTCATTGGTGACCTGTTTTCCAAAACTGAGAGACTCATGTCCAATCTTCCTTAGGAGTATGATAAGCCAGCCCCACCTCAAGCAAAGGAAGTTCATAACAAACGTTACCAACGATCCATTAAGGATAAAAACAAATTGATTTGCAAAGTCTTCTAGATGTTTTATTTTCATGTGTTTGACTCTCAATAAGAAAGCTATTAAGAGCGTTTAGGGAAGACAAGCAAGCTAATTTAAAAACGAGGAGAAAAGTAAATACTGTTTAAAGAACATACTGCTGATGGCAACTGCTTCTTCAAATACTTTAGGAATAATTGTAAAGAAGGAAACTGACAAAATGCAGAACTAGAAAAAAATAGATTTAAAAGCCCTTAAGAATTTAGGTGAAATTAAAACAGAATTTTCTGATATGTGTTCCCTAGATTTAGAAGGCCATCTTGCCTCAGTTTTGAGACAGAAGGTTCGTTCACAGAACTCTTTGAGCGCTGGGATTTGAAAAATGAGTCTTATTAAATTATCCTTAGAGTCCTTCCCTTCCTTGAGTTTTAAGAGCATTAATAAGAGTTCTGTCTCAAGGTTCAATCCTTCAGTATGCTGAGGGAGAATTACTAGATCTTGAGGCTCATCACTGCCTCAGAATAGGGGGCTTCAGTCTTCTTGAAAAGGAAGATTATAAGATTATAACCTTCAATAGGAAGAAGATTCAGAGTGAAAGTTTGCAATCTCAGGTTAAGGTGCCTCAACTATTAAACTCACCTTTCCTTTCAGGTAATGTAATCACTAAAAACTGTGATTATGCCAACAGAAAAGGAAGAAAATAATGTAATTCTTAGGTAAAGAAAGAAGGAAATCTGTCTCAAAACTTGAAAGGTATTAAAGTACAAAGTGTCTTCCTGATTTGGAAGTTTTCCAAACCCTGCATTTTCTTAATTTATTCAGGAAAACGCTTAGTGTGTGTTTTCCTGTAATTAAACTTGATTTGCTCACTCCTTGGAAATGTTACCGATCACAAAAGGGAACGTAGTACTTCAAAGTAAAAGAACTGCAGTTGAGAGGTACTCAATACCAATTACGTAATAGTTTAAGTTCAGGAAAGAGAATTCAAGAATCCTGTGATTCCGTGTTTCCATATTCATTGGAAACATAACTGAATTTAAGAGTAAATTAAATCTCTTTTTCTGTTGGTTATGCCAACAGAAAAGGAAGAAAATAATGTAACTCCTGGGTAAAGGAAGAAGGAAAACTGTCTCAAAACTTGACAGGTATAAAAGTACAAAGTATCTTCCTGATCTGGAAGCTTTCCAAACCCTGCATCTTCTTATTTATTCAGGAAAACACTTGTGTGTGTTTTCAAACCAAGAAAATGAGATTTATGTATATTTTGCACAGAAGTAAACATTCTGATTTTATTCTTCAAAATGTAGGTCGAAATAGTTTTCAAGTTTGATTTTACGATAAGAGTGTGTGGTTTGGAAAAAATCTTAACTTTAAAAAGACAAAAAGAATAGAGACTTAAGGTGTGCAGGGCGGGGTGGGGATGGAGGAAGCAACGGCAAGAAGAGAGCAGAACGCGAAACGGTATCTGTCCAAAGTGGGTCTGCACACCGCTTTTGCCTTGCACAGCGCTTCTTGAAAGCTCATCTACAAACAGAACAGAAACGATTCTGTTGTTGGGCGCTCTGAAGTGAGAGGTCAGCCCTGATAGGAAAACAGGTGTCTCCTCCTTGGGCTGCAAGGCTTGATCGACACCTGTTTCCTTCGGTCCCTACTTAGGTCCCAGCCTTAGGGCAAATCAAGTAGGGGTTCGCACGACTGCTGGAGACCTAACTGGCCGCGAGATCCACCCAAGACCCAGGCAGCAAGTTTCCTTGATCTTGCCAGTTGCAGGCTTCCGTCACCACGCGCGTTGCCTCTACCTAAAAACTCGGCCTGGCAGTCTATTTCACTTTGACCTTGACGACCCGTGGGCCTGGCTAGGACTAAGAGGCGCGTGCCTGGCCCGAGGCGGTCGGGAGGGCTAGGGACCCGGGGGCCAGACCTTTAACACGCTCGCTGCGGCGGCGGCGGCGAGGGCGCGGCGGGGTCACGCCTCCTGCCTACCGCGCGCCGGCTCCCAGCGTGGGAAGTTGCAGTAGGAGCCCACCTGGGGCGCGCCCTTGCGCAAGCCGCTCGCCCCAGGGCTTCCACCCAGGTGAGCCTGGCCCAGCCCGGTCCGGCTTTGTCTTCCCTCATGGCCACCGGTGCTCGCTGCCCGGGGCCGCCCGCGGTTGGCCAGTGGCTCACTCTGCCGCTCGCTGAACAATCCCCGTTTGGAGTTTAAGATATCCGCCGCTCCACTTGCACTCCTCCCCCCCACCACCCCTTTTTTTCTTTTTTTTTAACTTTTTCTCTGGGTATGCTATATGGAACCTAAGCTTTCATCACGGACCTCTTCCAAGAGGATTTAACCAGGATCCTGAGCGCAAGCCGCCGCTGCCCCGGCTGCTCGCCCGCCGCCTGCCACCAGGAGACACCCCGAGCCGGCGAAGGAGCGCACGGCAGGTGATGGAGACTAGGAGACACCCGGCGAAAGGAGGCGGGGTACGGAAGGCGGGGAGATGGCGGGGGCGGAGGCTGGCAGGGGGCGCTGGAGGCTGGAGCAGCCCGGGCGCACCTCGCGCCCCGGGGTGCCGGAGGCTCTGAAGTGGCAGCTGCACCGCGAGCCTCCGGGGCCCGGGCGGCGGCTGGGGGTGAGGTAGGGGGCGACAGCCGCCGCCGGGGGTGTCGCCGGCCTCGGCGCCTTTGTTCTCGCGCGCTCCCCCTCGCCGCCCACTCCCCTGCTGTCGCGCGGCGGCGGCGGCTGCTCCTCCCGCCCGAGGCAGTCAGGCTCGGCGCCGGGGGCGGGAGGGGCGGGGGAGCGCGCCAGCCTCCGGGAGTGGGGGGCGATGGCGAAGCTCCGGGTGGCTTACGAGTACACGGAAGCCGAGGACAAGAGCATCCGGCTTGGTTTGTTTCTCATCATCTCCGGCGTCGTGTCGCTCTTCATTTTTGGCTTCTGCTGGCTCAGTCCCGCGTTGCAGGATTTGCAAGCTACGGCGGCCAACTGCACGGTGCTGTCGGTGCAGCAAATCGGCGAGGTGTTCGAGTGCACCTTCACCTGTGGCGCCGACTGCAGGGGCACCTCGCAGTACCCCTGCGTCCAGGTGTACGTGAACAACTCCGAATCCAATTCCAGGGCGCTGCTGCACAGCGACGAGCACCAGCTCCTGACCAACCCCAAGGTAAGAACGCCCGGCGCACGCTGGGGCTTCCCGCGGAGGATAAGGGCGGATTTTCCCGCCTCGCTTCTGCGGAAGTCATAAGGTTGGAAGGCAACATCAGTGTTAGACCCCGCACGGGGTGTGCTTGGGGTGTGCTCGCGTTGCTGGGAGGAGACAAGACATCTGAGATTGTACTCAAATTAGGATAAGTACCCTAGGGCTCCGTTCTTCAGGTTGGGTTTGTGTGCGGGGACCTGGTGGTGCCCAGAGGCTTTTTCACACACTTGTCCTGCCAGGTTTTAGATTTGAGGCCACGGCCCAGCCCAGGTCCAGCGCCTACAGAACGGGGTTTGGTGAAATGCATGGAGCCGAAAGTTAACTTTTCTTCGGATTAAGCCTGTTGGACACGTTTAGTCAGGCGGTCAAGGTCCGAATTTGAACTGGCTGCGTCAAGAACTCGGGTGGAATGACCTTCCTTAGGAGCGGAGGGGTCTTTTAGCTCCTTAAAAAGCGCTAGGAAATTCCTTACCTTTTAGCTCTAGGCCCACCTTTTAACTTCGGGTCTAGAGATGAGCTTTGGAAAGTCAACAGACACCCTGGAATCAAATGCGATGTTCTGTGTAGATTCGGTTTTTTCTGAGGACAGATGCCTCCTGGTTTTCATGAGATTAGATTCTCAAAAAGTGTAAAGGGAGCCTAGTGACTTCTTGCCTGCCTAGGGACAATCGGGAGTGGTTTGGAAAACTAGAAATCTTACTAAAAATAGAAAACCTCTGTGAAATTTACAAAATATTCCTTCCCTGAAAACTTTTTGCTGTCTCACAAGCAAAAGAGGAAAAAAAAAAAATTAAACTTGGTTAGGACTCACAGGATGGAGGGCAGAGAGAAGGAGACTCGGAAAACTGTTTCCTAGCGGAGTAAAAAACTTATAAAAAGCAGCGTCTATAGTCTGTGAACTAATTGAGCTTTTTAGTGCGCCTGGTTCCACAAGAACTGCTTTTTTTCTTCTCTTGGCCTTTCTTACTATCTTTGTTGCTTAACTGTCAACGTAAAGGTGTGTATTTTCTTTAAACCTACTCACATTTTCCCTAACTCCTAGTGAGGGTGGTGCTTGAAGATCAAGCAGGAAAACAGTCCAAAAGCGAGTGAATCTTGTGTACACAGAAGTTTCTATTAAATGTGACAAGCTATATTGATGCCAGTTCAAAAGTAAAAAAATTCTATGTTAATTTTTTTTAAGTTTTAAAAACAAGCTTCCAATAGACTCTACAGTAAAACTCACGGTTTTGTCACCTAAACAGTACATTCTTGAATTTGGGAAAATAAAAAATCAGGAATTCTTTTAATATTTCTGTCTCTCAAAAAAATGGTCCTACTGACAAATGAATATTTCAGTTACCTTTAAAAAATGAAGATAATACATAAGCAGTAAGTATAGGAATAAAAATTTAGAACTACAGAGTTTAGATCTTGGAAAAAAAAAACTTAATGAGGATAGAGTACAGTATTTAAGCTCCTGAGGAAGCAATAATGCCTCACAGACAAATGTTGTAAATTAATTTGCCGAATGCTCAGGGATTTTAAAAGAAATCTCAGGGTTTTAGAAACATCTTTTTTTTTTTTTCAGGACTTAAGCAGTAATATGAAAGAAAAGTGCCCACACTAATAATGATTTAGACATTATATTGTAGTTCATCATATAGGAGGCATTGTTATAGTTGGTGGAACATTGTTTATTATTTTAAGTTAGTGATTCAGACAGTAATAAATTATATACACATATACCAGTAAATTTCTTATAATCTAGTTCATAATCTAATGTCTAATCATTGATAAATTAGAATTTACTACAAAAAAAGACTGCTTTACAATTTCCTGTAATGTTGAAGGACCTGGCAGAAAAAGTAAATGGGACTAATTAGGACATAGATTTTTAAATCACTTGGGAGCAGTCCCAGTGCTTTATGTAATACTAAGATTTTATCTCTCTCTCTTTTTTTTCAAATAATGTGTTTTTGTTTTGTTTTTCCAGTGCCAATTCAGATCCTGACAACAGTTGTTTTGAAGAATTACCTGAACCAAATACCATTTTATAAAGTGCTCCAGAAATGACAGAACTGGAGAAAGATTTATTTATGTTACAGAAAATGATGAACAGCATACCAGCCAATTTAGTCAGAGTCTCCTCAGCTAAACCATTATATGTTTCTTTATCCAAATTATGATTACGTTGTATTGTAGCAGTTATGGAACATAAATTGGTTCTTTAGCAGTCACGTTTCTACTTTTGGTCAATAAATCCTCAATTTAGAAATTCTCGTAGGCAATTACTAATGAAAAAATTCGACATAACCAAAATATTGTGCCAGAGCTAAGTGAATAAGCTGAGTATTTCAACAGCGTCATTGCAGTTAGACAATACCCAGTGCCCATTCCTGTTGCAACTTGGCTGCCTAAATCATTTCTTTGACTTACCTTACCTCTTCATTAAAGGCCTAGGTTCCTCAGCCATTCCTTTCGTAGAATATCTGGATTCTTTACAGAGTCATGGATCCTAACTACCTTCAACTTTCTCTTCTTTATCACGCACCACAAGAAACCATTTAAGAAATCACTCTTTAGAGAAATAGAACAAGGACTTTTTCCCCTACATTGAGTTTGCTGCATTAATTACAGGAAAAGACAGGGAAGATGAAGGAATATTACAAAATATATAACTTCTTAAGCCATAGATTACTAACAAAGATATTGTAAATAAATTTGACCTTTGACTAATAATTTCTTTAAATATATTTAAGTCCTAATTAATTTACCTACTTATGTTTTGAATCATGTCTGTCTTAGTTATCTAGTGCTGCTGTAACAAAACCACAATCGGATGGCTTTAACAAAGAAAAAGTTATTCTCTCACAGTTTAGGAAGCTACAAGTCGGAATTCAGGGCACCAGCTCCAGGGGGAGGCTTTCTTTCTCTGTCAGCTCTGGGGGAAGGTCCTTGTTGTCAATCTTCCCCTGATCTAGGAGCTTCTTAGAACAGGGACCCCAGGTCCAAAGGAAGCGCTCTGCTCCTGGCGCTTCTTTCTTAGTGATATGAGATCCCTCTCCTCTCTGCTCCCTTCTCTCTTTATCTCAAAAGAGATTGACTTAAGATACAACCTAATCTTGTAAATTGTATCCTGCTTCATTAACATAACTGCCTCTAATCCTGCCTCATTAACATCGTAGAGATTAGGATATACAACACATAGGTAATTATATCAGATCACAAAATGGAGGACAGCCACACAATACTGGGAATCATGGCCTAGCCAAGTTGACTCACGTTTTTGGGGGACACAATTCAATCCATAACAATGCCCTTATTGTCTAAAGCAATTATTGTATCCAGTTGCGTAATGTAGTATCCAAGGCAACTAATTATCCACAGGGAAATAATCAGGTCTGTGGACTAACTCTAGCAAAATTTCAGTTTCAGGTTAGCTTCTTCTTGCTACTGTTCCCATCACTGCATTATTTCTTTGTGAGTCACAGTTGGATATGCTAGGAGCAGTGGTTCTCAACTGTGGACTGCATATTAGAATCACCTGGGAGACCTGGTGGTGCACTGGTTGAGACCTCAGCTGCTAACCAAAAGGCCAGCAGTTAGAATCCACCAGCCACTTCTTGGAAACCTTATGTGGCAGTTCTGCTCTGTCCTGTAGGGTCGCTATGAGTTGGAATCAGCACGACAGCAACGGGCTATGGGGGTAACTTAAAAAAAATTCTGCCTCTCTCCATCCCTCAGAGATTCTGGTTTAGTGTTGGGTGAGGCCTGGGAATTGCTGTTTTTTTAAAGTTTATTATTTGTTTATTTATTTTGTTGTTGAGAATATATACAACAAAACATACGCCAATTCGTCAGTTTCTACATGTACAATTAGGTGACATTGATTACATTCTTCAAGTTGTGCAGCCATTCTTACCCTCCTTTTCTGACTTGTTCCTCCCCAATTAATGTAAACTCACAGCCCCCTAAGGTTCCTATCCAATCTTCCATGTTGCTGTTGTCAATTTGATTCCATATAGTTGTTAAAAGAACATAATGCTCAAGGCAGACTTTTTTTTTTACTAGTTTAGGTAAACTATTGTTTGATTTTAAGAAGACTTCGGCGGATATTTTTAGTTTAAGTTTTAAAGATTATCACAGGGCAATAATTTGGGGGGTTCATTCAGCCTTCACAGCTCCAAAAAATTTGGAGTCCATGAGAATTTGAAATTCTGTTCTGCATTTTTCCCCTTTTGATCAAAGACTCTCCTATAGAATCTTTGATCCAAATGTTCAGTAATGGTAGCCGGGTACCATCCAATTCTTCTGGCCTCATGGCAAAGGTGGCAGTTGTTCATGGAGGCAATTAGCTATACATTCCATATCTTCCTCCTGTTCCTGATTCCCCTTCTTTCTCTCTTGGTCCAGGTGAGTAGAGACCAATTGTTGTGCCTTGGGTGGCTGCTTGCAAGCTTTTAAGACCCCAGGCACTGTGCAGTGAACTAGGAGGTAGAATAAAGCACTAAACATATTATTAGGCCAATTAACTAGGATGTTCCATGAAACCATGAGGTATTTTTTAAAAGTTTTGCAAGTGATTTTCATGTGTAGACAGAGTTGAAGCCACTGGCTTGGTAAAGGGATTCACTGATTTGTATGAGAAAAGCAAAATTAGAATCACAATTCATTATGATTAATATTTGTATTTTTCAGTTAAAAAATGTTATCAGTGCTACTGAATATAGGGATTTGGTATAAAAGGAGAGACTCAAAGAAGTTCTGAAGGAGAAGAAGCAAATCATTTAAAATTAGTTAGGGAATGATAAAAATGAATTTACACTATTCCAGTCATTTGCTTTTACATCAGTTTATACATTGGATGGCAAAGAAAAAATGAATTTTAAATATTTCCCTCTTGTATGTGGGACAAGAGAGAGTGGGTGATTTGAGGCTATATATATATTTTTAGGAGCCCTGATGGTACAGTGGTTAAGCAG